ACCTTTCCAATCAGTGGCGGAAACTCGCAATCTGTTGAATGTTCCACCCGGTTGACTTTGTTTCCCGATGACGTCACCTCATTACTGACGTCCATATCGGGCGCATTCTTTGCCGTCCCATCGGGGAGCATTTCGTTTCAGTCAGTGGACGGCCGCCGACTCCATCGCCCCTGGCAAGTGCACAAGTACATTCTCTAACTTCCAGCCAGCCTTGAAATTTGCGGACGAGACGTTTTGCCAGCGAGACGAGGACAGATTTGATTTAGCCGTCATGGCAGTGACGACAATAGAGTTGGCCCGTCCCGTCATAACTAAAAAAACGCAGCCCACCTTCGATGACCTCTCAAAATTCAGTACTCGGTACAGCAAATTATAAGGCTATCCAATATTTTGCGCTAAATTTTCATCCCCTGAGAAAAGCCCGTCTAGGTGCTCTGGTCTCGGAATTATAAGGAATAAATTGCCTCGCTGAGTTCTGATTGATCCAGGCGGGGACTCATCGACATTAGCCTAGTGCTGCACATCATCCTTAATGGATAAATGGATAAAGTTTTCGGCGTCTATCAATCCCTTCAGAGGGATGCGCCCTGCACTCGACTTCCACTCAGAATCGTAGTGGCGTAATGAGTGCGTGTGTGGCCTTGCCAATGGCTTGCGGTGGCCAGCCTATGTACAGGTCAGTGCTTTTATCCTCCCAGACGAGTCTGGTACCAATTCACCGACCCGGGAGGGATGGAAGGCTTGGTTGGCTTAGGCGGATATCGATCCGGGAATCGAACCCGTGACCATGCGTGTGATATAGTGCGCCACTTGTCACTACACCACCTCGCCCACATCACCTTATCATGAATAAAATAGGAGTGAGGTGCCGTTCCGAAAAGAATGCGAATAATTCAGAATGTAGACTGTTGGGACATTATTCTATCATCTGGAGCATGTTGGATTTGTTCGTTGTCGTCATTTCGTCTCAAAAATGATGCAAAGTTCACTACTGTCCTGCGGATACTCACATTTC